ACAGTGCAAATGTATGAACTCATTTATGTATGTTTCGAGCAATTTTACTAAATAGATGAATTTATGCCTTAAATTGTAAGTTTGTATAAATCTCTGAATATTTTAAAAGAACAATTGGAATTTATTTATGAACATGAAATATTTCTTTTTTAAAAAAATTTAAAGCAAGTGCACAACAATAACTATCACAACTACATAAAATATCAACTATTTGAGCACTTTGTACAGTGCATATTGTGCACAAAGAGCACAATCTTGTTATTTTCCAAATATTCCAACCTGCAATCAGATGGGGTTTCGCGGGCGTTAAACGGGAAATTAAAACCGAAACTACCGGTTCTTTTGCGTATAATTTTTCGGTGCTAAAAAAAGAATCGGAAGAACCGAATTTTTCGATTAACCGCACAGCTCTAAAAAGGAGCAACAACGAAGAAGACCTGTAGGGATTCGAACTATACGTGATCGAGCAAGCAAACACATAGACCGATTAGTTTGTTGATTAGATTTTGTTTACATTACGGACTCTACAGGGCCTGCGGAGGAGGCAGGGACTCTACAGCATCTGAAAGTAAAAGACCCTGACAAAAGATAAAATACACAACAGTCGTCAGTGTGTATTACTTCGGGGACGGAAAAAAATCGAAAATTCAATACCTCGGGGACGGAAAAAATCGATGAAACAAAATCGCTGAAGACATTGCACGCCTCCTCTCCTAATTTGTCTTATCTTAAGCTACTTTATTCACATTCAAATTGTAACACCGTTCTTACTTTTCCCCAACAGACACCTTTACATCTTTCTATTCTGACTTGTCAACCAATCTTAGTCGAATTCTTAATTTTCCATGGTGCCAGTGTAAATACGAGGGACAGAAATGGTCAAACGGCGCTACATCTTGCTTCGAAAAACGCAGATAGTGAATGTGTCAAAGCAATAAAACATGCAACAGAATCACCAAGATATTCTTCACATATTGTTGATGAAAAACCGGACCTAAACTTGAAAAATTTTGAAGGTATCTAACCAAAGCACAACTCATAAATAGCTCACTGCTATAAATAGCTCACTGCTTGAGTTACATTCTTTAACGAGGCAGCTCAATGGCGCTTTGAGAAACGTTATAGTAGAATCACAGAAATATCTTTCCCACATATTTTCCAATTATTTCTACAATAGGTCAACTTTGATATCGTTTTAAATCGTAATTATAAATTTATAGATTGCAAAAGTGGCTTCCTTTACCTTTCCATGTCAACATCCTTTCAAGTGCACCTAACCTCAATTCTTTTAACACTCATTCCTAAGAAACTTTGAAATGATTTTGTAACTTATTTTGAAGATTTTCTTTTTGTAACTTATTTTGAAGAGTTATTTCAGTTTTATTGATATGCAAGTGTCCAGAATTTACGTCACATATGAATAATGACTGATCAAAAAATGTAAGGTACAGTTAAATATCATGAAATAAAAAGGCTAAATGCTGTTTCAAATATAGGTATGTAATCCTCCCACAACGCTTTTACTTTAAATCATTATGCATTTGTGACGTAAATTCCGGATATTTGCATAAAGAATTGAGGTTAGGTGCACTTTCAATTTATTGCATCCTCTAGGGACTAGGGAATATTCATTAATAGCATTGTTTCTTTTTTTACAACTGATATTTAATGTGTATGACTATGTATTATAGGTAAAGCAGCATTTCATTTAGCAGCTTTATCTGGCAGTCAAGATATCGTGAAAACGTTGTTAGACATGAAAGCAGACATCAATATTCAGGTGGGATATGTGAATTTAGTTTATTTTACGAATTACTTACGAGTGAAAAAGTGGAGTGGAAAACCTAGATGACTTTAAATTTCATCACAAACAATCCGATCATAAAGAGTGACATGTGGCACTGCAGCCATTAAGCTGTTGCAAGTGACGTCACAACACATAATTCGACGTAATTGATTTGGTTTCACTATTTTGCGAGGCAAATGTTTAAAGCAAAATAAGGGGGCATCCATTATTGAGTACGTACGAAAAAAACGTCGAAAATTGAAACCATCCCCATGGCTTTGTACGCAAAGAACAATAGAAATGGCGTCATTTAAATAATAGTCAAAGGCAAAAACTGCAAAATGTCTAATATGAATTGAACATGTTTAATATGAATTCAGAATGGTAATTTTCTGGCGAATCCAGACAGTGGTTTCCTTTGCTGTCCATAGTGGCCACCATTATTTTTCCAATCACCTTTGGATAAGGCTGCATATAGGTTGTGTAGTATAAAACTATAAAAGCGCCAAGTGACGTATATCTGGCACTTTCAGGATTTTATTGCGACGATCGTCAAAGCATATTTGAAATATCTAAGTTGTTTTGTAAACAATTTATTTAGCTTATTTGAAAATCAAACCTTTCAAAAAAAATACATGGCCTTTAAACGAAGGTAGCCCGAAGGTAGCCCTATGACCTTTTATAGGGTTAGTTCAGTGTGGGATAGTGAAGACTTAGAGATTTTTATTCTGATTCGTATTCTGAACACTGGCCACAGTCACCACAACTACATAATTGTATATCAATTATAGGATGGAACATGTGGAAGAACAGCATTACATCTTACCGTAGAATCGCACAATATAAATATGATCACTTTCTTATTGAAAAATGGCGCTAATGTGAACGCTACTACATTCTCGGGAAATACTGCATTACATCTGGCTAGCGGCCTAGGCATGGACCAGCTAGTTCATCTACTCATTCGGAATGGTGCAAATATAAACATTACAAACATTGAAGGTGACGCTCCATTGTATGCCAAGGTACGTTAGAGTTAATAACTTCACTGTAAAAACAGATTGGTTAAAATAACCAATTTGAATTGGTTATCTCATGTGCACTTATATTTGAACAGTTTTTTTATTGTGATGCTTGTGGTGTTACTCTGAGTGTGCATCCACACCGGAGAAGCTGAAAGGTTTGCCTGACCACGGTGGGAATCGAACCCGCGACCTTTGGGATGCTATAGTCCAATGCTCTGCCAACTGAGCTACGAGGTCAAGTCGGTTCGAGTTGGTGATATTTCGGAACTGAGTCTTGTTCCTTCGATATCAATGATATTCTAAGATATGATAGGCTATATCTTAGAATATCATATCTTAGAATCATAAGTAAGTATCATACTATATCTTAGAATGCCATTGATATCGAAGGAACAAGACTCAGTTTCGAAATATCACCAACTCGAACCGACTTGACCTCGTATAGCTCAGTTGGTAAAGCATTGGACTGGTATCCCAAAGGTCGCGGGTTGGATTCCCACCGTGGTCAGGCATACTTTTCAGCTTGTCAGGTGTGGATGCACACTCATGCATAGTAACACCACAAACATCATATTCACCTGAGTACATAACACCAAAGTACATAAAACCAACACACATATTTTTTATTGGTTAAATTAACCAATATTTTAACCAACTGTAATCAATTTCACCAAATAATATTGGTCAAAAGAAATTAATGCATCTGCATGAGACAACCAATTCAACGTGGTCATTTCAACTAACCCGTTTTTACAGTATATATAATTGAAATACGGTATTACGTATAGCTAGCGGTGTAGGCATGGATCAGATTGCTCAGCTGTTCGTTCAAAATGGTGCAGATGTAAACATATTAAATTAAGGTGATACATATGTACTTAATTGTGATGATTGTATCTCCATTGTATACCAAGGTACGCTGGGCGTTAACTAAATAAATGTACAATGCAGGATGCACACTATACCGGTGAAGTACGCAGTTAGCGAGTTAGCAACATTACATTTAAATGCAATATGGAATAACATTTCGTTTATTGTTAATTACGTTTTTACAACATCTAACGGTTTTCAATATCTGCAAGTGTTCATTCGAGGGTAGAGGTTTAAAATAGTGGAAATAACGCACATACGTTTTTTTCTGATTTAGATTGTGACAAATGCACAATGGAGACCACCAAGAAAATCTCAAATGAAGACAATGCAACAAACAACAAATCCTGCGTGCTCATCAAGGACTACGAACAAGAATGCCAAACTAGTATCTCAAAGTGCAACCTTAACTTCACGCGTAAAGCTTTAGAAATAAAAATAGTTAGATATCACTCCTAAAAGTGTCTTGATAAAAAAATCATGTTTAAACAAATGGGGTCTTCACTTACGTGCATATTTCGAATGAAAAATAAACACAGTATTGCTTAAAAGGTAGGGCTGCATCGCATGATACGATCAATCTTGTCAGAATCTACGACGAAATGTTAAATTAAACTTGATTTAACTATTAACCATAATATCGTGGAAAGGAAAGAATAACCAAAGCTAGTCGACATTCAACGAGTGGCCGTCTGAAATTCAGCTTTCTGCTATAGCTATATTACATTTCATCATACTTTATATAGAATAACTATGCATGTGCTTATCCAAGTGCGCAAATTGTATTGTTCGTTACACTGCATGGCGGCACAATATTCAAACTTTTTATCACAGAATGATAGTTCGAAACCCTCATGCACGCGTTGGCAAGTGTAAGCCGTGCTTCTATGATCCAAAAAATCTGTAACAATTAACAGTGCAAAAATCTGTTAACCGAAACTGATCTGATTACAACATTGGGATCTAACGTTAACGGCCACAGATTGCTTCAAAACAAACATGGGGCAGCCGCGCTACAAAAGTAAAAGTTGAGTTCGGGTCGAAAAAAATTTTGATGATGGAAAAGACTTTAGTTTAAACAAGAGCTGCAAAACTTACATAGTTTTCAAAGCGTAAAATGTGATATAACAAAGCAGGAAAACTTGTCAAATTCAAGGGCAGGAAACTACAAATTGTCTCGAACACTTTTAGTTTTACGTATACGATTAATACGTAATAGGATGGTTTCTGAAATTTGGATGAAACAAGCACTCGCGAGTTTTTCAAAGAATAAAAATCTAGACTCACAACACGTTTTAATTAGTATAAGGTAGTGGATAGCCTACAGTATATGTAGCCTCCTCCGCAGGCAGCTTGGTGGCCAAAGGCAGAATTACGCAATAGTTATAGGGAAAGTATGGGGTAACAGGGGATCATGAGGGATAACCCATGATCGGGCTAGCCACAAAACAACGGAAAAAATTGCCCAATTACCATGGCAACACGGATTACCATCCTGGAAACTACAAACTAGTAAGAATCTAAATTGAGTAGATACGAAATATTGCATTTATTAGGCTTGGTTTCAATTTGATCCTAGCTGTTACACCAAGTGAACGTCACTTGTTGACCAAACGTCGGTCAGCAGCTCAGGTAAGGTGACAGCTACCGGATATTGAGAATTAGCCTGAGAAATCTGACCCATCAGGAACGAGAATAAAGTTCGGATGTATAACAAATATAACTATCAGTAGAGATATATATCGACACCCAACTTTGACATACTCGCACCGCCACAAGCAAACAGAAACCATGCTGACGAGTACATGTATATATAGAAATATTAAGCACTGACTTTATTATCTTGTTTTTCATACTTTACTCAGACTGGAGTTCCTTTCCATGGTATATTTTCCATTTTCCACTTTATAACATCATTATCTGAATGTTGTCTTATCTGTTCATCTCTCTGTTCATTGGATAAAAGTTGCGGTAGCTTATTTCCTTTAAATTCTACCACACCCATATCAGCAGAGTCAAATTTTCTTGGCGGAAGTCTATAAACTGCCGTATAATTATCCTCAGTATGTTGAAAACGTGGAAGTAGGTCACCAAAAACCTTTGGGATCATTTCTTTTCTCTATAACAATATATGACAAAGAATATTTTATACCAAGTGTCACAGTTCATGTATTCTTGCATCTCATTGGACAAGAGCGTATCATGTAAGAATCACGATATTCGACTGTCTCCCAGCAAAAGCTCTGAACAGTGGACATTACTTCATAACTTCAGTTGATAAAATCGTCGAGTAAAAAAAGCAAAAAATTTTAAAACTTGGTGTATAATAATTATAAAAATATTTTTTGACTGGGACTTTCGGGAAACAGTATGTTTTGTGAACCCACGTTTGAGCCAATGTTTCCAGTAATGGCATTCGCAGGTCCACAAATCATACTCTTTGATCTTTCCTCGGTCCCAGTCAATGCGCAAAGTGGACAAAATGGGCCTTTTATTTAGTTTTACTCTTTCTGTCTATGACAAATCATGTCATATATGTGACGCAAGAATTAATCAGAGATTCAGAATACTTTCCCTATACCCATGATTGGAAATTGAGCCTACAAATTGACACCCAAGATGAGGTAGCCCATCCTTACTGAGCATGCGTGGATTGTTACATTGCTAAATTAAACTGAAGATATCGTTGGCAAAGTCAATTTGAGGCTTTTTTACAAAGCATTCAAAGTAAAGCCAAAATGCTAAAACTAACTTACAGTAATCTTACATTAATGCTAAAATTAACTTACATTAATCCAAGTATAAATTGTTGCTTCATCTCCTTGCTTTGCCAGATCTATCATCTTCAAAATGACACAAATATTATACTTAGCACTTTTTCCAACTCTCATGAAAAGACAAACGTATTGCCAAATAGATTCACAACTATGTAATATATTTCGAAAAGGTGGGTGAGGAAATGTCATGAAATAGTAATCTGGACGGTAGAATGAAAAAGAACATCCGAAACGATAATTCACTGAACCACGGAAAAACACTTCAGACTAACACTGTACTCTATAGATTGTGCTCTGAATGGAATTTTCTTAGCTTGCTTGATAATTACAAACAATTATATATGCTTGATATTGCAATTGCAAACAATTCATAATTAACCTTTCTGACATGGGTCCATATCCGCCATTTTTGAGGTACGCACAACTATAGTTGCAATTCACGGTGTTTAACACACTCAGGCGCGGGAGCTAGGCAGTACCCAAAAGTGGTGGATAAGCATGAAAAAGGCTGAATTCAAATTTTCAGACAATCAGACAGATCTTATATGTAATAATATATTTTGAAAGTTCGGTACAGTATATTTGGAAATTAAAAGAAAATAAACAAGATATCAGTATAACTTCATGGTCTGTCTTAAAACACGTAGTTTCTTACAAGGCCAAAAAAATATTAAAAAATTATTAATGGTCAAAACACTTTATACAGCTACTATACAGGGTGTCTAAAAAAACGCTATGGAAATTCAACAGGCTGTCGTGCATCATAAACTTAGTTAAACAATTCAATTTTTACATACTGTAGGACGAAAGAGCTGTTATTTATCTTTTCTATGATACCTTTTTTAAACCGTAACGATGAGAAATGGCCACATACTGTACTCGTCAAATAAAAATTGCCGGTCGAGATCACATTCATCGTTACGATTTACAAAAGGTATCATAGAAAAGCTATGTGAAAAGACACCCTGTACAGATATGCCACATAAATGATAGAAGGATTTTGGGGGTAAAACTAATTACTGAAGGGATTTATAGATGGAGGAGTTCCGTCTGCAGTCGTGAATAATGCAACTATCGGTATTGGCTCCCTGACAGGAATCGAACCTGCGGCCCCGCAATTCTGGTGCAGCGCTCCTAACCAACTGAGTTACATACAGAGAGAGACAGTTGTCGAGCTCTAACCACAAGTTCATGTATAAATATTAAGGTGATGACAATTAATGTAAGGTGTATGGGTAAATATCAGGATTTTGGGTGTCTCACTCGATAGAACAAAATGTTGAAGAGATTTGTAGATGGAAATTTTGACTGGAATCGCAGGGCCGCAGCTTCGACTCCTGGCAGAGGGTCAAAAGTTGCATTTTTTGCAACTGCTGCTGGTTAGGTCAAATAAATTAATTGTACAAAAAATCCACTCAAAATTTCCATCATACAATAACATTCTAGCTAAAATTAAATTAGACTAATTTTGTTAAATTTAATTGACTAAATTAACACTCATTTTATGTTCTAATAAATATTATATAAATACAGAAGTTCTGCTAAAACCGGATTACACTGGATTACAGTTGATATTTTTACACAATTACTTTCATCGATAAACTGTCTTAGATATTCTTTTCCTGATGAACCAATGAAGAGATGGAATTGGAAGTTACTGCAGAAGTGCTTGAAGAAGACCCTAGTTCTCATACGAGGGTGGGAAAGCGTATTTTCGTGAGCCGTGAATGGTCAATATGTATTCGTGTGAAATGTGAAATGATTGATTTTAATGTTGTGAAATGTGATTTGTTCTACAGCCGTGAGGCGTGATTGTCAATAAAAATGCTCCACGAAATGAGAAATAAGGAGATTAATGAGAAATATTACCAGGTGAACGAAACAAAGATATTAACTTCTTGTTTGCACCAGGCAGAACCAGAAGTGGACGAGTGGTAAATACATCAGCTTTGGATGCTTTGGATGTAAAATGATGAAACGTTTTAAAAACTTTGTACAATGTACATTGTAAGACTTGTAAGATATAATGTAGTTTTAACTGCCAGGCAGAGAAGTGAGAGAACTCAAAATGTAGATACTGTAGCATGCACTAAACATACCTTTAATAAACCTATTATTATTATATTATTTTTATCTGAATCTAGTTTTTAGTGAAATTTATGTGAAATTGCTTAGTTATTTAAGACACGTGAATTGTGAAACGGCTTTTTTTTCGTTGTGAAACGTGACCCATACCCCGCTTTCTCACCCTCTCATATTGCCAAATAAATTTTTTACAGCCCAAACTGATTGCGAGTGCCACTACATTGCATAATATTCCCAGTCAAAGGGCCAGGTGAGTTAGTTGGCTGTCCTTAAAATGTGCTTGGCTAGCTGGT